TTACTGAAAGTTTAAGCAGTTGATGCTGTACATTTGATGATTTTCGCTAATGTTAACGTAACGGGTTCAAATAATTGTTTTGGTGTTCGTACACTTTTAAACTTTTAACGATCCGACAACCACGTAAGAATGATTGTTGACTACTATGTAGATGTTCTATATATAAAAATCTAGACTTATACTGAATGATGCACATTTTATTTAAGTATCTTCTAATTGGTGGCAGTATCCATATCCCTATGACGTGGTCTCAATAGCGGCATCACAAGAAAACCTCCAAAAGGAGAATTTAATTGACAGCTACACCACAGAGAGCACAGAACAATCATACGGTCAGAGACGACTTAGAAACTGTTTGGATCCAAAGATTGGTATTTTGTTTTTTAACACTTTCTGACGAAATGAATTTATGCTCCATTGACACCAATTACTCGTGTACTCTGTCTTTTTTTCTGTCATTTATTTATTTCTTTCATATTGCATTATCTTACCTCCTATACATTTTTAGGAATAAGATTGGTTAAAAGCAACCGCGTTGAGACCGTTAATATTTCATATGGGGTTAGTAGGCGTGGTTTTTTCAATACACGGTTAGTAGTGGTGTTACGTCCCTTTGTAAAAACAACACGGTGTTGAGGAAAAATCTGAAAGGTTTCACCAGCCGAAGAATTGATGACGAACGATTGAAATAAATGCAGAAAACACATTAAAAGCTAACAAGTTGTTATTGTTGGCATTTGTGTATGTATAGACCAATGGAAGTAGGTTCTTAATATTGAAGACTTGATCACTTTGATAGGCCACTAGTCTAAATGCCACATGTTAAGATATTCGGTACGATAAATTCGTTACACAGTGTGCTAGTGACCTATTACGATATATACGGGGTCAGTAAATTTCATATGGGATTTACTGACCCCAAATATATCGTAGTAGGTCACTAGAACACTATGTAACTAATATTATTACTATTATATTTTAGGAATCCCCTAATACCTTTTGATAAATAGAAAAGACTGGCTAAACCTCGTCAAAACAGTCATCCAACAGTTCACACTAAAGCTGTGAATGCTTCTAGTGTAAGGTAATGTTGTTTTACGAACTTTTGGTATTTTCTATATTTAAAAGCCATTTCAAAGTATAACATTTAAATAATTTCATGCTTTAATCAATTCCTCTGACGAAAGATCAAAAGTGTTATTATAATTTAAAAAAAGAAACGCGTTTTGTAGAAAGATATTATGGACATTATCGTCATATCCAGAAATCAACGCCAGTTTGCTTATTTGAATATTATACTAAAGAAATCGGATACGGGTCACGGAAATTATATTGAAATGATAGGGAATTTTGAAAAAAAATGTCTGTTTTAACTTTAATTTAAGTGATAGACAGGTTGCGGGGACAGAAAATGAATATACACAACAATATACACCATTTAAACGAAACATAATGACTGTCGTTGCAAAACTCAAGGTTCCTGAGCTTTTTTGAAAATCGAAGCAAGAGGTTTTTAACATTGCAGTATAAAATAAAGGCTAAAATGGCTGAAACGTCAAATTTGCAAACTTCGTGTTGAAAATTGGCTAACAAGGTTAATACAAAAACAGGTTGCGGGGATGACACTTGAAAATTGAATGTCCAAAGAATAAGCAAGTCCAAACCTTGTATGTGTAGTCGTTGAACTCTAGGTTCCCACGTAAAGTTAAAATGCCCCTATTTCAAGAAGAATAAACTCACAAAAACACGAAAAATTCACTAAATTCGGGTTCATTGTTTTGATTTTGACCGCCTGACAACTTTACGGAAATATCAGAGTGATTATAAACAAGGACTCTGTGACGGGCAACTTATAATATCCGTGTTTTAAAGATTTTGATGATATCAAGCCAGTCCAGTTCAACCTATTATCACGTGGTACAATTCTCATTTACATATTATGAATATTGATTAGCAAAAGTACTACTAATTTCTGGCTATGGTTGACAAGAAGCATTCCATATGCCAACTCCTTCAGATTTCAGAACAAGTACAACTATCCATCAAAGAATGCTCTAGAAAATGTTCTCATTTAGTCATAGACAACTCTAAATGTTAGCAGATAAAGCAGTTTACACCAATTTAGGTTCACTTCACCTGGCGAATATTTGACAACAAACAAAAAAGGATCCGGGCATATCAATTTGTCTCGTGCTTTATTCTTCAATTAAAAAAAAAAATAGAATTATAAATCCCTCACTAAAATGTCATGTATAGATGTTGCTTGTGAAAATGTGACAACATTTAAAATCACATGTAGTCATTGCAATTAAAGGTATATTCAAGGATTTTAATAATATATTGCTTACTTTTAATATTCTTGGTATCTTCAAAACTTTATTATCCAGGAAACCATGAATACTTCTACACAAATGCGCACCTTAAACCATTTTTTTTTATGATGCAAACACAATGTGCCAGACAAAACGTTATGAATGTCCCGTCTGCAGACTTTTTGCTAAAAGTAAACTGGAATTTCAACTGGAACGGAACCGACATTACAAAAAAATAATATTCTTAGTACAATTTTCATGTACTCATCTTAAAAGTGAGAGTCCAAGGGTCGTTACTTTGCTAAAAGTAGGTTAACCGAAACAAACCCAAACTCGATCAGTAAGTCAACCTTTTTTATTATTAATAAGGTAATTATTTTTTTGTAATCATATTTGTATACCACGTTATTCTTATTTTTAAAATTGTATTTCAACAGTGATAAAACTATTCAATTTCTACTAGTATATGCCATTTTAATATTTTATTTTGCAAGATCCTAGTATCTGAACAAAAAAAGATTTTAAAAGACATACAGCACCATTTCAGAGAATACGCTTCCATCCCTTTATTTTCATAATAAAAGATGTAAGGGAGCTACAATTTGATTTTTATGGGGAGGGGGCTAGGATGAAATTTATAAAAAGGCAGGACAGGAGTTTTAAGTTAAAAAAAATAGGCAGGATGAGCAACTTGGCAAAAAAAAAAGGCAGGATGACAATTTATGTAAAAAAAGTCAGGATACACAAATAAAAAAGGCAGGACCGACCAGATTGAAAAATAAAAAGGCAGGACAGAGATTGCAACTAAAAAAAAAAAGGCAGGACAAAATTTTTTATCCTAGCACCCCCCCCCCCCCCTCCCCCCCCCCCCCTCCCCCATAAAAATCAAATGTTATCTCCCTAACAGGTGACGAAACGGTACACTGTGCCATAGAATGAATACAATGAATTAATATTAAGTACATGGCAAATATACAAGTATGAACACTAGGTTAATTTATAGTCTATCCGTTTGTTTTGGTTTAGTACTCGACTTACACCGAAAACTTTATTTCTTCAGGAAAACTAGGAAGAAAAGTTAGATATGGTTGTTCCAAGCGCCGCAATAAATCCCGACGATTGGATGGACTATGTAACGATTATGAAAATCCAGCATCGGGAAGTCTTTATTATCGTTTTGGTGAGTTCTTAGTGCAGAATCTCATAATTGCTAATATTTCAACAAATTTTGTTTTCCCCCTTTATAAACTTTTATATCTCCACACAAGTGGATGAATAATGGAAGATATTGTTGCATTTAAATTGTCTGTCGGTTCGTCTTTCTGTCCGCCCATTTGTTCGTAATACAAATATTTCCGTCACACTTTTCTCAGGTGAGTTCTTGCTCTTCCTATTAATGATATATTTCATTTAGAGAACCATATATTCCATTTAGAGAACCATTTGATTGATTCAAATATGACTGCTAAACAGCCAGCGAGTCATATTACATGCACATTTAGGACAAACACGTCTTAATAAGATAAAGATTATATCATGGCTTGACCATCCCGCTATCCCCTGCTTAATTGTATAGCGACAAGCCGAGTCTAATGTTTAACTTGCTAGCGTGCAAGTTCCTAAAGAGTCACGACCCAACATTTCTGGAACCCATATCCCTACCTCTGGATCTGGATCTGGATCTTTGGAGCCCTTTCATTGAACCCAATGTCAAGGTAAATATGTTAAAAATATCTGGATCCATGAGCCTTTTCTTTGGATCCCTTTCATAGGAACAAAAAGTCCCGATATTTATGTTAAAAATAAAATATTTTCTTACACATCCAATCTTTTACTGACGAAATAAAAATGGGCAACTTTTGATTATCATTTGGTCGTGAAAAGTACATTTTTATTTTACTAATTATATGCATCACGCAACTAAAATAAGAATAAATTGAGTCTAGACAAAAAAGAACAATTTTAATGACATTTGAACTGTATTGGAAATAACCTGTAATTGTTCGTCGACATTCATTATTAATTAAATAATTATTACTGGAATACAAATGAATCTGGTTTGTTGAAATTAAACCAATTAGACAACAGGGACACGATTTCGTTTCGTTTTTGCATCTAAGTACCTAGAATGAATATTTGTTATGTCAGTCATCGAATTTGAGAATATTCTAAAGTTGCGAGAATTTGACATTCAAAAGCGCATACAAAATGCTTTAGCAAATAAACGCGAAGAACGTGTTTTATTTTAAGAGAAGATCTGTAAATGCGAGTAAGTAACAACCCACGCAATATAAACCATGTCTTTCAATTTGAGCCAAACACAAGCGTTATTCCTGGGAGTTCAGAAAATTCGTCTCTTTGGTATTATAAATACTTGTACATTCCATTCGTTTCGACAGAGAGTAAATTTTGTCTCATTTAATCCGTTCTTATTCTTTTTCATCTTTGTAACATGATTTTTAACTTCTCTAGTGTTATATATTCATAATATTGCTTATTGGACATACAGCAACCATCAATTAACAATTAAAATCAGTTGTTTTGTCCTTAATGAAATAATTTAAAATAATGAAAATAAGTCTTTTAAAAATAGAAATGACAATCTTAATGAGTCTTGTTTCAACGGTTATGATTGGTATATAGTTCCACCGTTTCAGAAATATGAACTGATTTTTTTTTTAATTTAAGGCAGAAATGTTCCCCTGAATGCCACAGTTAGAGAAAAGAAGAATTTGTACAACCCTAGTCTACGTGACATAAGTCGTACTTTGATGAAGAGGAAGACATTTATTCCGGTAACCATTGTTAATATCCTTGTAGCTGGATGGGTACAGTTTATGACCCACGATTGGATTGACAGTGGCAAAAACGACAGGTGCAGGTATACATTCTAAAATACGTTTAATTTTTAATAATCAAACTGAGGAAAAGGAAAGTATACCAAAATAGAAGAAAAACCCTGCAAACTAATATCAATATCGTTAATACCAAGAAATCATGTTAAGTTTAGTGATTGAATTGGAGCACATAATCTTAATATTTTTGTCAATTTTTTTCTAACACTGTCTGGAACTCTAGTCTGAGAACAAAGTTTAATGCCCTATTGTACTGTTAGCGTAACCTTTTTTGTTAATCAAATGATAACAGGAGCATTGAAAAATCATCAATATCGTACACAACAGTACAAACCAGATTGAGGTGATCTTGTAATTACAAATACCCCCACTTGCAGCATACTCTTAAAATAATCGATCCATTCTGTCAAGATCGAACTTGCATATTATGGTAATGATAATAAGATTGTGTTTAAATTCGTTTAACATTATGCCAAGTGAAATATTTACTATCACCTAAGAAAAAAATTAAAATTTAAATTTAAAATTTAGGGGCATAACTATTGATCAGTAAATGTCAATTCTGTCAAAATCAGTTTTTTGTAGTTTATTGTCCTTGACAATATGTAACAATTTAAACAGATTCAGTCGAGTGGTATTTTAGTATTATCTGGAAATTAAAAAAAAATATCACTTTTTAAGAAATCGTGTTTAGATCATGACAATGTGTTAAAACAAAAAGATTCAGTAAAGAAGAACTTTCAATTGTTTAAGATAATTATTAGGAATAACTTCTGTACACTAATTGCCAAAGCTGTCAAGATCGATCTTCACTTTTAATACATTAGTCATGACATCGTTTGTAAAATCGGAAAAGATTCGGGGTCGTGTTACTTAAATTATTATCCGATAAAGAAAAATAATCCATTGTTTAAGATATCTATATGAACTTTCTTTTGCGTGATAAATGCCTAAGCCGTATAAATCAAACTTGACTTTTGATTTAAGAATCATGACATTAATATGTTGTATCGTATATTCCTAGACATTTTAAGGTTCCTATTCGAGATGATGATCCAGATTTCTGTAAAACAATGGACATACTTATGATCAGACCAGACAGCTGCAGAAATTCTAAAGATTATGATACCTATCAAAATACTGTAACACACTGGTGGGATGCATCACAGTTATATGGAATTAACAAACAAATAAATCGTCGTATACGCACAAGAAAAGACGGCAAATTAAAACTAACTTCAAAAGACCGTCTACCGATTGATCCATCGACTGGATTACCAATTACAGGTAGGTAAATTTTTATCGCTATTAAATCTAGAAGAATTTACTCGCCCGGGTCTAGGTTGGGTTTACAGGACGGAGAATAATGGGGGTGGGGGTACAACAAAATCAATAAAGACTATCTACAGAGAAATGTACCCCAAAAAAGTAAAGGATAGAGTATAATAGGGAAACAAATAAGGAATAATGGTCAAATATTAAAACATTGAGATAATGTTCTAAAACTAAAGAATTCAGAAATGAAGACCCTCGTAAAGGCCCGAAAAGGAAATACTTGCTGCATATTAAATGAAGTAAGTTAAAATGATAGTTCCTGATTAATCACCGGTATACATTACGTCATGGTCCAAACTGTACGTATAAAATCACGATTTTTTTTTCTATAATTCAGTGATTTCCACAATGCTAAATTAACTGTTCTTGTAGAGAAACTAATGCAAATGTCAAGAAAGAGATAATAAACATGCACATTTTGAACCTTAATTATTAATCTTATATTTTAACCATCATCTACAACAAAATGATAATCATTCAATGACGAATTTTATAACATTATAATCATGATCTTAATTTTAGGAAATTCCTTAAACTGGTGGGTAGGACTAGGTATATTTCATGTAATTTGGACGCGAGAAGATAATTACGTATGCAATATGCTTAAAGAACGAAATCCAACTTGGAATGATAAAATGTTGTATAACACGGCAAGACTCATTATTGCTGCAGTAATTGCTAAAATTCATACGCTAGAATGGACAACTGCTATCCTGCAAAATGATGTTGCTAAGTTGGGATTAAAGTCTAACTGGTACGGAATAACTCCTATTGAGATCGCAAGGGGAAATGCAACCTTAGCAGCATGGTTAATCAAACAATTTCCACAGTTGTCCAATGGCATTCCGGGAGCTATAGGTAAACAAACGTTTTAATTGTGCATACTAGCACTTTTTGTACAAATTTGCATGTGAAAAATAACCAGAACATATCATTTAAACTACCAACAATAATAATTAAAAAAACAACAACAAAATATTATATAAAATGCAGGCTCATATCATTTGCTTGCGTTTTTGTCGTTCAGGATAAGGACATGGGTAATAAACTGCACATTGATATAGTAAACATTTGAATTTTGGTGCTAACGATGATCATTTAATACAAATAGACAGGAAATACGAAAAAAGAATTCCTAAGTCCAACACATCCATCTGTAACTGTCACGAGCATGGATATGACAAAACCTGTTATTAGTATAATGCTAATTTGACATAAGTTGTGTGGATATATGGGAGAGTTATACATGCATGCAGACTTTAAACTGTTGCTATTGAGTTGAGAAATGTCTAACAACATTGCAAACAGAGGCAATATTTTGTTCAGTTTAAATTATTTTCCTCTGTAATTTAGAGTTAAATTAAACATGTTTATTGGTCATCAGCTGTTTTACATGACGACCATATATGATTCACATTATATCCTTGATGAAAATCTTTTAATTAGATCTAGTATAAAACATGACCACAGTAAACACTTCTTGATTGTTTAAGACAATTTTCAATTTTTCTTTTTTTAATATTTTGAAAGATAAAATAAAACTCGTGTAATAGGCCAACTTGTCAGAGAATATGCTTCAATTGATCAGATTATGGCCAATTTTAACAAAGAACCAGAATGATTTATAAATGCTAGTAGCCCTTATACATGAATAAGTTTGACATATGTTACAAAACTTATTACATCTGATTTAGGAAACCCGAAAAAAATTAGAGGAGTACCATATTCGCTTACACAAGATTGCATTGCCGCATATCGATTACATCCACTATTGCCAGATGAATTTGAAGTAAGAAGTCATCAGACAGATGAATTAGGTAAGAACTGATTCTTTAAAAATCATACTTTACAATAGTACGGCGTTTTGCATTTGCGCCGATCTGTATTTCATTTGCGCCGATTTTTTCTTTTATTTGCGCCGATTTTTTTTTCATTTGCGCCGATTTTTTTACAGGTAAATTACAGGTGAATGTTATTTTTCATTTATCATCATAGACCTCTTCCGTATACCAGTTGTTCAACTGTTATGAATTGTCAATCAATTGGGATAGCCATTTACCAATGTCACTTACTAGTAATTTGTCTTTATACTCTGTGCTCAGCCCAACAGACTGGATTTTCCTACACCAGTTCTGAGCCAGATGAAAACGACAACTATCTATTCTACATTGTGGAAAAAGCATCCATAATTGCCATAACCTCGGCCACAAAGGAAAGTTGTTTTTGACGGCAGAGATCGCAAATTATTTTCTACATCACTTCATAACACTGTTCATCTTTCGCTGGTAAGAGGGCGTAAATTAGAGGTACGTAGTTTCCATCCGTGTAAAGTATATAACTGATAAAAGTATTTGGGACAGCACATAAAAGTTCCATCTATAAATATTGCAGACATATCATTGCAAAGACATTCAAGATTGAGGTGTGTAGAAAAAATAAGTATACCTTTCCCGTGATCATTTGGACTGACCTTCCGATGTATGTATGGCCAGTATTTACTCACCTATGCTAAACTGTAAATGCAATTCCGAGCAAATATGAAATCGGCGCAAATGAAAAAATGAAATCGGCGCAAATGAAAGAATGAAAATTTAAAAAATCGGCGCAAATGTCATACGCCCCAATAATAATTATGAATGCATACTGTGGGTTCATTAATATTCGTTGGATACCAATTTTCGTGGATTTCGTGGGTACAGGGGAACCACGAATTTAAATGTTCAACGAATTGCAACTTTTTCTAAAGGAATGTATGCAGACTTTGCCAAACAAAGGAATTCAATGTCCACGAGTATGCAAGTTTTCCTCAAACCACGAAAAATGGTACCCACGAAAATAAATGAATCCACAGTATTTTAAAGCAATTCAATATCACCAAGATAAGAAGTTAAACAATACGAAGCTAAAATAAGTCACAATTATGAATGAGAGGTTCTTATTTATTTTTTGATACACACATCAACTAATACATCATATAACAAATATTCCAGTTAACCGATACAACATGAAAGATACAGTATTTGAGAAGGCGGAGTCAGTTTTTGAAGAACACTCAATGGAGGACTTAATTTATACGTTTGGCAATGATTATCCAGGTGCAATGACTCTCCACAATTATCCAAATTTCTTGAGAAATCTTGATCTACCCAATTCAAGTCATCATGGAAAAGGAAAAGTAGACATGGCTACAATCGATATATTACGTGACAGGGAAAGAGGAATTCCGAGGTGTGTATGTTTAATTGAATGCAAATATATACATGTCCGCTGGTCTTTTTCAATGGAATTAAATAAAATGTTAGAAATAAGTCTCTTATTAAAGTGAACGCATGTCCCGTTGACCACATGCAGAACTGAAAGGATTTGACATAATTATAGTAAAATGTACATTTATTTTTCTCAAGTACTTAAGTGTAATCGGTTGTCATAGTTATTGTAAAGATAACATTTTATTATACATTCAAAACAAGCTATGCCTAGCAAAAAAAATATTTCTGAAATGCATGCACCTTGAACTTTAACATGATCGCTAAAATACTCAAAACATTACATATGCATGGTTCGATGTACTACTGTAATTTGTATTAAATGTTTAATGTCTGCCATTGTTATGTTTATTTTAGATACAATGCATTCAGGCGGTTGTTCCATTTGACGCCGATCACCAAATTTGAAGATCTCACCACAAATCGAACTCATGCCGAAGAACTTCGTCATATGTATAATAATGACGTAGAATTGATTGATTTCTTAATTGGATCACTTGCCGAATCACCGCTTCCTGAAGGTTTTGGCTTTAGCGACACTTTCTTTAGAATTTTTACTATTATGGCTCGAAGAAGAATGGAAGCGGACAGATTTTTCACAGACGACTATACTTCTGAATATTATACTCAATGGGGCCTTGACTACATAGATGCTACTTACATGAAAGATATATTACTCCGCCACTATCCTTCGCTTGCTTCACAATTGCAACCAAATGTTGCAAACGTCTTTATTCCTTG